AGTTAGGTCAGAGGCACACTTCCTTACAGACTAACAGTTTTTAAGGATTCAGGGTGGGAGAGTTTATCAGAGGCTTCGACTGCTTCTTTGTCTCTTTGTTGTGCTTATCTGGGAGGGAGAGTTGTGTCTCTGTTCCCATAACTCTTTCTGCAGATGCAGGCATACCCCACTTTTAGCTTCTTATCTTTTAGCTTCCCTGACAGTGCACCCAAAGGGAAAGGAATGTGCTTATTAAGGCCCACTGTTTAACTGGGGCCCATTGTGTGAGGATGAGGTTGGGCAGTTACCCAAGAGACTTTGCCCCCTCCTCCCTCTGTGCCGGAGCTGTCTTATCTGTGTTTTACTGTCTGCTCTTTCTGACTGCTGGTAGTTAAAAGAGAAGTGATTTCCTTGAAATGCATGAGGCTACAAAGGGAGCTGGAACCTAAATTAGTGATGTGTGTCTGAGGTGTGCTCCTACTCTGTCAGGTTTGCTTCCTGTCCTTGCCAGTTATTAGCTAAGAAACATGGAAAAAATTGCCTAGCTTTTCCAAACTCCATCTTTAAAGTGAGAATAGTGACTTTCAGGTTTATTATAATGATTGAAAGAGATAATACATATATTAAATGCCTAGCATATATTAAACCTCATTAAATAGCAGCTACTTTCATTGTTTTCCACACTTAAACATTATAAACAAATATTATACAAGATTTAATATTGGTAACTAGCTGTCTGAGATCATTAATATTGTCCTTAGGATACTGTCAAATCATCTGTTGAAATTTACCTGATATCCTAACTGCTATGCTTACTCACTTTTCCCTCCCTCCCTCCCCACTTCCCACCTCCCTTCCCCTCCCTCCCTCTGTCATCCCCTTCCTTCCTTCTTTCCTCCTTTCCTTTCTTTCTTTCTTTTTCTTTTTAAGAAATGCCTCTTTATGAAAATATTTCAAAAGGAATTCAAATTTATTGTGAAAAAATACGCATCAATACAGAAATATAGGGAGGAAAATGGCAACTCATCCTCCTCTCCACACCACCAGCTCCAGTCTCATGCCTCTGGACCGAGGTAGCCAATCCTAAAAGTTTGATATGGATCATCTCAGATGCTTATCTATGTTTGTGTGTGTGCTCTGCGCATTGATTTTTTAGTTAATGTATCATGTTGGAGAATGTCCACCTTTTTACTTTATATTTATGCAATAACTTAGCAGAGCACAACCTTTTACGGTCTCATTTTCTTGTCCTCAGCATGCAGGACAATTGTCTTCTGGCTGTAAGTAAGCATGTAAGTCATTCTGATCAAATCATCTCCATCCTTTTTTTTCTCCAATGGATGCTGAGAATACATTACCATCTCCAAATGTAATGTCAATTCATATTTTAATTTTCTTTGTAGCAGTTCTTGCTTTTAGTATTATGTTTTTGCAGGACATAAAAATTAATAAAAATTTTATTTTTGTTAGAGTATAACTTTTATCCATAGAAAATGTTCATTTTTAATTTTTCCTCTTTGAAATTATTGCATCCCTTAGTAATGCTGGCATGTCTGCTTTTTTGTTTTTGTATTTTTTGAAATAAAACTTTGTTGATTTTGTCATTTTCAATGCTTTTATGTCACTTAGTTTCAAGGGTATCTTTTATAAGCAGCTTATATCCAGATGTTTTTAAACTAATCTAACAGCCTCTATCAAATGGAAATTCAGTACATTCATATATACTGTGATGATTCCAATGTATTTCTTGCTCTTACCCCCTTTTAATTTTATTTTCTATTTTTATGCTTTATTTCTTTTTACATGTTTCCTTGCTTGCTACTAAGTTTTATCCATTTCTTAAATTTCCTCAACACATTTGTGGATTATACATTTTACTTCTATTTTTGGAGCAGTTATCTTAACATTTTATATTTAATTTTGAATTACCTGAGAAATATAATTGTACATTCTCCTTATTTGAAGAAATAAATCATTGAGGCAAAAGCCCTTTTGATCATCTCTTTCAATGTCAGTCCTTTCTGTCTATCCCACAATCCAATAGAAAAATTCTTATCAGTTTATTGTGGTTGTTTCCTGACATTTTGGACATATACTGACGTATGTTTACTTTGCTTTATATTGGTCTTCCATAAGTAGCATCACCAAGTTCTGCTATTTTTGAAATTGTTTTACTCAACAAATGTTTTGAACATCTTCCCTTGTTAATTAACATAGGTGGACCTATTTTTATTGACTGGTAAATAGTAATCCATCGTATGATTAAATGCCAATTTTTATTTGCATTCATGTTAGTGAATATTTAACTTCTTCATACTTTTTCACTATTGCCAACAATTTGCAATGAACTCCCTAGTACTGCCTCCGTGTATACTACTATAGGCTATTTCTATTTTTAATGTTATTGGATACTGCCAAATTGATCTCCAGATTTTATGAAAGATTATTTTTCTCCACACTCTTGCCAGCACTTAATATTGTTAGCTTTTGAAACTTTCACTAATTTTCTGGATAAAAAACGTTATTTTATATAATTTGCATTTACATGATTATATCTTTTCAAATGTTGGATATTTCACTTGGATTTCATCTTTCATGAGCTGTTTGAGAATATAGTTTAAAACTATTTTCAGTTTTTTTGCTTTTCTGTTTATTCTTAGAAATTACTCATATATTCTGGATTCTAATTTTGTATCTGTTCAATCTGTTGCAAATATTTTTCTCTCAATGATCTCACCTTCTTTATTTATGCTGCCTTTATGCTAAGAAGTTCTTGGGTTTTTTTCTTTAATTCTATGTGATTGTTGCAACTTTTGTCACCCATTCTAGTCACTTCCTAGATTCCCAATGCTACTGTGGGTTGTATGTGTGTGTGGGCACGTGGATGAATGTAAGCAATCATTTCAATTAGCTGTGGAGACGGTATCTGCAGGTAACTGCAGCTTTCCATATTGAAGGTTTACTGCCATTAGCTGAGACTTTGCCAGGTGCCTGTGAGAAGATGCTAAGCACACTTAGAGTGGAATGTTTTATTATTAAGTCTTGTAGGTCAATGTCATTAACTCCCCAAATTATCTTGAGTTTCAACAGGTAACAAAAAGCCACAGGCAGAACTGATACCTGATATGACATTTACCATGTCAGCCTGAAAATGGGATGGCAAAACTAAGACATGCCATCTCCTCATTTTCATGCTGAAAAGAAAGAGAATCTGAACAAGTGTTACATTTTTCAATAATGTTTTACTACCAGAATAAATGAACTATACTTTTAAAAAATATAACATTTAATTTTTAATTATAAGAGAAATAGATGTTAATTTTAAAATTTGAGACAATAAAGTTTTATAAGATAATTAAAAGGACCTAAAATCCCACCAGCCAAGACGACCACTGAAGACTTTTTTTTTTTTTTTTTGAGACGGAGTCTCACTCTGTCGCCCAGGCTGGAGTGCAGTGGCCGGATCTCAGCTCACTGCAAGCTCCGCCTCCCGGGTTCATGCCATTCTCCTGCCTCAGCCTCCCGAGTAGCTGGGACTACAGGCACCCACCACCTCGCCCGGCTAGTTTTTTTGTATTTTTTAGTAGAGACGGGGTTTCACCGTGTTAGCCAGGATGGTCTCGATCTCCTGACCTCGTGATCTGCCCGTCTCGGCCTCCCAAAGTGCTGGGATTACAGGCTTGAGCCACCACGCCCGGCCAGGACTTTTTTTTTAACAAAGATATTTTGATAAATATGCTTTAGGTTCTGCTTCAATGTCTGGTTTTATGGTTTTTGATTTTTTTCCCTAAAATTTGGCTTATTTAGACCATGGTATCCTGGAATCTAATCTTAAAAGTTTTTCCATTAAGCATTTTTCAAATTATCTGATAATTATCTTCATCACAATATGGTTTGCAATCTATTGTTAACCATAACTTATTTAACCAACCTCCTGTTGCTTGACATTTACAGTATATACAAATTGTTTTTAAAAATTCTTGAAATACAAAACCTTTTCTTGATTCATTACATTTTGGCTATTCCTTAATAAAAAGAAGTGAATACTCTAACCAGATCTAAGTGAATTTTTAAAAACAGTGTGTGTTTGTGTAAATCTTCAAGTGTAGTGTTGAACAATTTACTTCTGATGTGTTCCTAGATCAGAACTACCCTATGGAGAGTCCAAATTTGGTGTTTTTGCAATCTTCCCTTGCAGAAAGTTAGCTCGAGTAATTCATAAGCAGTACTACTTTCTCTGGACATAATAAACTAATTTTTCTAACTTAATTTGTTTATATGTTTAATTATTTTAAAAGTCAAGAAACTGAAGCCACAATATTCAACACTTAGTTGACTAAATGGGAGGAATTCCTGGAGGTGTTCATTTAGAAAATGTGGATTTTAAGATATGCAAGTAAGGGCACTCCCTCTATAGCGTTTCCTGAAATCTATGACAACACTGATTGTGAAAAATGCCATTATTTTATGTATCACTGAGAAAGACCACGCTGGACGTGGTGGCTCACACCTGTAATCCCAGCACTTTGGAAGGCTGAGGCGGGCTCACAAGGTCATGAGATCGAGACCATCCTGGCCAGCATTGTGAAACCCTGTCTCTATTAAAAATACAAAAATTAGCTGGGTGTGGTGGCATGCGCCTATAGACCCAGCTTCTTAGGAGGCTGAGGCAGAAGAATTGCCTGACCCCGGGAGGCAGAGGTTGCAGTGAGCCGAGACTGTGCCATTGTACTCTAGCCTGGTGACAGAGCAAGACTCCATCTCAAAAAAAAACAAAGACCAAACATTGCCAATTAAATGATAATATGCCATCAGTTGTAAAAAAAAAGTGAAAAAATATGTCTTAAACATGATAAAAATAAATGATGTTAACATGCTGAAATCCTAATATTAGTAAGAATGTGAAGATTGACATCAACAATGCAATCTTCCTACCTGCACATAGATTTCTCTATTCAATGAGTTTGATTCAGTAGCTCATTAACTGACTGTAGACTCACTGTTTCTCCTGTCTCTTCCAGGTGTGGGGAGGATGTCAGGCAGGACCAGCAGCAGCTCCTGGAGGGGATCTCAGAGCTGGACATCAGGACAGGGGGAGTCCCCTCACAGCTGCTGGTGCATGGAGCCCTGGCCTTCCCTCTGGGGCTGGATGCCTCACTCAACTGCTTCCTGGCAGCTGCTCGCTATGGCCGGGGCCGTGTGGTCCTGGCTGCCCACGAGTGCCTGCTGTGTGCTCCCAAGATGCGGTCCTTCTTGCTCAATGCGGTGCGCTGGCTGGCCAGAGGCCAGACAGGCAAAGTTGGGGTGAACACAAATCTAAAAGATCTGTGTCCCCTCCTATTGGAACATGGCCTGCAATGCAGCCTGGAGCCCCATCTGAACAGCAACTTGTGTGTCTACTGCTGCAAGGCGTACAGTGACAAGGAGGCTAAGCAGCTGCAGGAGTTTGTGGCTGAGGGTGGGGGGCTGCTGATTGGGGGCCAGGCCTGGTGGTGGGCCTCCCAGAACCCTGGCCACTGCCCCTTGGCTGGTTTCCCTGGTAACGTCATCCTCAACTGCTTTGGCCTCAGCATCCTGCCTCAGACTCTCAAAGCAGGCTGTTTCCCCGTTCCCACCCTTGAGATGAGAAGCTACCACTTCCGCAAGGCGCTCTCTGAATTCCAGGCTATCCTGAACCACGAGAATGGGAACTTGGAAAAGAGCTGTCTGGCAAAGTTGAGAGTTGATGGTGCAGCCTTCCTACAGATTCCTGCAGAGGGGATCCCTGCTTACATATCCCTGCACAGGCTCCTGAGGAAGATGCTACGAGGGTCAGGCCTCCCAGCTGTGAGCCGGGAAAATCCAGTTGCCAGTGACTCCTATGAGGCTGCCATGCTCTCCCTGGCCACTGGGCTGGCTCACTCTGGAACTGACTGCTCCCAGCTGGCCCAGGGGCTTGGCACCTGGACCTGCTCCTCTAGTTTGTACCCCTCAAAACACCCCATCACTGTGGAGATTGACGGAATCAACCCAGGTATGAAAACAGGAGAGAATGCCCAGAACATTAAAGACATAGGGGAAAGTGGGATTGGCTGACACTACACAGGACATTGCAAGTACTTACCTTCAGGAAGATTGACCCCAATCCTTTTTTTTTTTTTTTTTTTGAGACAGAGTCTCACTCTGTCACCCAGGCTGGAGTGCAGTGGCGCGATCTCGGCTCATGCAACCTGCGCCTCCTGGGTTTAAGCAATTCTCCTCTCTCAGCCTCCTGAGTCGCTGGGACTACAGGCACACGCTACCAGGCCCGTCTAATTTTTGTACTTTTAGTAGAGATGGGGTTTCATAAGCAGTAAGAGAAATAGCATAAATGCATAATGGTAAGGCTGGTCTGGAATTCCTGACCTCAGGTGATCCACCTGCCTCGGCCTCCCAAAGTGCTGGGATTACAGGCATGAGCCACTGGGCCCGGCAGACTGCATTCTTTATCAGGTACTTTCAAGAAGATGGGGGCTGGGACTCTGCTTAAGGTTTAGGAGGGATGAGTCTAAGGAGAAGTGCGGATGACTTGAGATACACAGGGGAGAAGCTGTACCACTGGGAGAGGCTGGGAGGCCCCAAGTGGAGATAGAGTCACATGGGAAGGAAGAACTGAGCCTTCTCTATGACTTTTGTCAGGCAACAGTGATTGCTGGGTAAGCACCGGGCTCTACCTCCTGGAAGGACAAAATGCAGAAGTTTCACTGTCTGAAGTTGCCGCCTCTGCTGGCCTCCGGGTAAGGTCTGAACACCCACATCTGCCGCCCCTCAAAACCCGAGAGCCATGCCATTCTCATCCACTGTCTAGCTCCAGCTCATGGCAATGCTGCCAGGAGCACAGAGGTGGATTATTCTGCCCACTTTACAGATTTTACAGATGAAGCAGCTAAATTTTAGGCCATCTAAGTGAGTGAATGAAGCGCCTAGTATTATCAAGCCAAAGAAGCTCACTACAGAATGGACTAGAAGCCAAAACTGTGACACTTGAATGTTTCATTTTAAAAAAAAGCATTTTATTGCAATTGGACTAGCAAGGAGACAGGAGCCCAGCTCAAATCTGTCCCATTGTACTTAAAGAGTTACTTTATTAGAAAAGGTTTAGGGAGTGGATGATGTGATTAGCAGGTGACTGACAGAAGGAAAAGGAAGGGCTGGGAATCCTCGGGCATGGGCAGTTGCCTCTTCATGCCTCCTCATGGGTCCCATGTGCAAATTCAGAGGGAGTTAGTATGAAACATGCGGTAGAAATTTGGGCTGGGTGTCAGCAAGCTCATTCTGCACAAACTCTGGTTTTATCTCTTTATCTTGACATCTGAAGGGTGTGAAAATCCCATCACTCCCCAAAATATGCCCTACATGCGGAATTTAAATTCATTCGGCCTCCTTGACTCTGAGGGCCACTTCCTACCACAGCTAGGGCCTCTTTTCTGTCAGCGTTCTTTCTGGAGCTTGCTTATATCAAACCTAAGAAAAGCAACTCCAGGACTCCAGACAAAACAGATCTCCACCCATCTGGCAGCCAGAAAGGGAAGCTCTGGACAAAGAGGGAGAGAGAATCAACCTCATTCACTCTGGATGGGCCTCCTGTGTGTTCACAGAGGACAGAGCACAGTCCCCCAGCTCATCCCCAACATCAGCGTCACCAGACTGGCTTAGGTCCTGTTAGAAGAGCCCAGGATTTTGCCTGGCAGAAAGACAGAAGACCTTTGCCAGGATTAGCCTGGTCTCTCACCAATTCATGTCAGGTGAAGATTTATGGTGGAGCTGTTTAAATCCTTGGAAAAATGATTATACATGCTTTGAAGTCCAGATGACTTTGGACTGCTAAAATTGAGAAGTTTCCATGCCTAGCACATAGATAAGCGAAGCTGGGGTTTCATGGGCATGTTTGTCTAATATCTTCCATCTAAACAACCTCACACGCACATCACAAGGATTCTAATTCCTCCATCACTTGGTGGAATCACCTGTCCAGGTACAGATTGGCTGCCACACCGATGACCTAACCAAGGCCAGGAAGCTATCTCGAGCCCCTGTGGTGACTCATCAATGCTGTATGGACAGGACTGAACGGTCAGTCTCCTGCCTCTGGGGCGGCCTCCTCTACGTCATCGTGCCCAAGGGCAGCCAACTAGGCCCTGTGTCTGTCACTATCAGGGGGGCTGTGCCTGCCCCATACTACAAGCTGGGTAAGTGGAATGAACATCTAGGGAGGAGGAAGAGCGGCAGATGCCATGGAGACTGTGGGATGGTTGCTAAATGGGAGAGAAATAAGGTTTGGTGGAGAGAAAGAGGAAGAACTGTTGGGGTAGAACGTGGAGGCAGGAGATATGGAATACCCTGTGTCTATGGATACTTCCGAGCAGACAAAGAGAAGAGTCAGGAAGCATTTTCTTCACTTTATAGCCTATAGACCCCTGTGATAGGAGTTCATTATTGCAATGTTCTTCCAGAGTTCAGGTGGTATTTTTCAGCTCAAAGGAAGTTGGGGAAGTGGGTGTGGTAGGTTCCATGATATTTATTCCCAGGTAAGACATCACTAGAAGAGTGGAAGAGGCAGATGCAGGAGGACCCAGCTCCCTGGGGAGAACTGGCCACGGACAACATCATCCTGACAGTGCCAACCACAAACCTCCAGGCCCTGAAGGACCCCGAGCCTGTGCTCCGCCTCTGGGATGAGATGATGGAGGCTGTGGCCAGGCTGGCAGCTGAACCCTTCCCTCTCCGCCGTCCCGAGAGGATTGTGGCTGATGTGCAGATCTCAGCTGGTGGGTGCTCCCAGGGAATCCTCCTAGTCAGTGGAAACCATGTATCTATTACTTTGCCTTTTATGAACGTCCAAGATGTGTAAGCATAATTTTATTAGTAAAGCAAGGGAAAAAGATATAAAAGACATTGACCACAATGGGGATGAAAGAATGTTTACATGTGAAAAAAAACAAATAATTGATATCTACAAGGTGAGATTTCACCAGATGGTAGAACAATCTCAGAAAAAGTTGTACTGCGAATTCATAGATGGCAACCAGAGTCATTTCAAGGACAGCATAGAAAATCAACTATTTTCTTCAAACATAAGCCGAGTTGGAAATGAAAAGAGGAAATACATAAGGAGGTTTATGGTAAGTACTGAGTGATTAAAAAGAAGGAGGTGCATAGGAAGAGAAATAAGGAACTCCGGATCCCACATGGGGAAAGTTCATACCTCAAATTTCATAGCTTCAAATAAGGACAAAAATTACCTCTATCATAGAGTGTAAATTTGGACAAAAGTAGTATACATGGGGAAGAAAGAATGACACTGTTCTAGCCCTCAAGGATCTCAGATCCAGTCATAGGACATCATATATCAGACTGACATGTAAAGGACACTCACACACACAAAATGAAGGTGTCGAATTACAGCAAGAATGACTATGTAAAGTGTAACCGCATTCTCCGGGGCCAGAGTGAGGAGGAGGCCACAACTCAGGTGTGAGAGGCTAAGAAGGAGATTAGGTACTATTCAGTTTCTGACTAAGTAGGAGAAAGCTATTTGCTTTCCAATCAGCACAGAGATTCTGCAATTATTGGGGATAACCAGGATGGTGAAGAAAAGTCCCATAATGGAGAAGAATGAAGGAGACAGTTTGGGCAGACCCTCCTCAATGCTCATCTCTTCCTTCTGTGTTCCCAGGCTGGATGCATTCAGGATACCCCATCATGTGCCACCTGGAGTCTGTGAAGGAGATCATCAACGAGATGGACATGAGGAGCAGAGGTGTGTGGGGCCCCATCCATGAGCTGGGCCACAACCAACAGCGGCATGGATGGGAGTTCCCCCCGCACACTACTGAGGCCACCTGCAACCTTTGGTCAGTCTACGTGCATGAAACAGTCCTAGGGATCCCCAGGGCTCAGGCCCACGAGGCTCTGAGCCCTCCAGAGCGAGGGAAGAGAATCAAGGCCCACCTGGGAAAGGGAGCCCCTCTGTGTGGCTGGAATGTGTGGACAGCCCTGGAAACATATCTACAGGTACTGAGCAGAAATTCTGGGAGAAGGGGATGACCAGACCCTTCAGTTATGTAGCGACCTGGATCTCAGTAGCTCTCCAGCTCCTTCACCACCCCACTAGGTCCAGGGACCACCACCTCCCCCGGAAATGAGAGGGACTGGGCCGCATGGTGGTGCTTCTTGAGTTATACCCCTCTAAGGCAGAGAGAATAGCACCTGTCTCACTCACCTTCTGATTTTGAGATGTACGAGGAAATGAAAAATATTATGAAAAAATAGAAATATAGCATAAGTTAAAGAATTTAAGCAACCTGTCCAGTATCCCCCATTTAAGTGAAGGACCTAGAACTTAAAATCAGGACCTAATGACAAGCCCCAGGCTTTTGCATTGCCACGCCCATTCTTAGTTTTTTGTGCCTTTCACTAATTTTGTGAAGAGTGAATGTGAGACAGTCCCAGTTAATGAGGTAACTTTGTACTGCATTCATTTCCATATCCTTAGATAGCCAGTCTGGGGGTATATAGGACCACTGACCACAATGGTAGGTTGACCCTAAACTGTAAATTTAAGCCCTGATTCTGTCCTATTCTGCTACCGACTCACTGTGGAGCCCTGAGTATCATTTCTCAATAGCTCTAGAGAGACCAAGTCTGGGACTTGGCCTCAAGACAAACAGGCACCTCTGACTCCTCTTCCCACTAGAGGGCTTCTCCCCAGCATCCGTGCTGCTGCTGCCTTAGCTCAGGCCTCGTTAGTCTTCCCTCAGTGTATTCCAGTAGCCTTCTAAATTGTCCTAGCATCTTGCCTCAATCCTCTATGATTCATCTTCCTTACACTCCTTCCAAAATAATGTGAATACTCTGTCTATAAAATGCTTACAGTGTTCTCTAGCACATATAGGGAAAAGTCAAAGCTCATTAGCAGGGCATAGGAGGCCCTTCATGACCAGCCCCACCAGTGCCTCTAGCTACATCTCCTGCTGTCACCTCCACATTTACCCTCCGGCATGCCAACCTGCTTATGCTTACGGACACATCTTGCTGTTTTGGCTTCTGTGCCTCCCCTTGTTTGCTTCCTGCTGCTGAATCATGCTGGAACATCTTGTCCATTAGCTGTCAAGTCACTTGTCCAAATTCAGCTCTGTTGTCCCCTTCTCTCCTGGACATCGCCTCCTTGATAAACCAACATTTTTAATAATGTGTTTATTTACATGTGTTTCTCCCTTTGGCCAGTGTTCTCTAGAAGGACAAGAGCTCTTAATCATGTTTGCCTAGCACAGTAGCTGGCAGGGTCTGGATGTCTAATACATGTTATATGTTTATTAAATGCTTAATTTATTGATGTATTCATTAATAAGTGTCAAAGAGCAAGCCAGTAAAGAACAGAGGAGCAATAATGAGGGTACAGCAGTGAGACTCTGAGGGAGGCTTGCCTTCGATAGTGTTATCTATCCTTGGGCTTTTACAAGCTAGAGTCAGAGAATGCTCATCTATTAAAGGGAGAGTAGAGATGGAAACCCCAGACCCCTGCTAACTAGAAATTTGTATAATCTTAGTGAACAGGGGCCTTCTGCCAAGGGCTTTCCGGAGGGCTGCCCCTTAAGAAGTATGAGCCACTCTCATTTGTAGCCCCTCAAGACAGGCTGGAGTATTTTCTTTTTCTGCCCTAAATGCAGTGTTCTACAGAGCAATTTTGTATCATTGCAGATAGTCACAGGTCCGAGACGGTTATCTAAAAAATAAGGATTAGTATCATACCTGGAAAGTATAGTATTTGAGGTTTGCAGCCTTTTAGAATCTCAATAGGCCAAATATGTAGGAAGTGAGGGTTTCTCATCTCAGTAAGGTCCAAACCTGTCCTGATGCTGAGGAAAATACTTGAGATCTGGGAAGACAATTTTTTAAATTAAAGATACTAATAGTGGACATTTATTGAGTGTTTACCTCTATTCAGACATTAGGTTTCCCCTGAGCACCCCCCACTAGATTCAGGGGGTGATGTTTTGTGGCTGAGAGGTGGAATGAGCAATGAAATTGCATTATTGTGCAGGGGTAGAGTGGGGAGATAGGGACACATACCCAGGATGAAGGTAACAATTGAGGGGAGGTGATCATGTGAATGAAATATATTTAAGAACACACATGTCGCATCACTTTTGCAAACTTGACAACTCATTCTGTTCCTTCTTTCCCTTTTCAGCTCCAGGAGGCCTTCGGGTGGGAGCCATTCACCCAGCTCTTTGCTGAGTACCAGACCCTCTCTCATCTCCCCAAAGGCAACACTGGCAGGATGAACCTATGGGTAAAGAAGTTCTCTGAAAAAGTGAAGAAGAACCTGGTTCCCTTCTTTGAGGCCTGGGGCTGGCCTGTCCAGAAGGAGGTGGCTGACAGCCTGGCCTCCCTACCAGAGTGGCAGGAAAACCCCATGCAAGTATACCTCCGTGCCAAGGAGTGAAGGATGCCCCGCAAGGCGGGAGAGAAAAAGCAGGGTCACGCCGGCAACTCCACCACGAGGCTTTGGCCATGTGTGCTCAGTATCTGAGCCTGGATCCCGCTTCCAAGCCTGACCACTAGATGGTGGCCAAGGTCATAAGAAAAAATGGAACCCCTTTCTGAAAAAGGTGCCTTGTGCTTCTTTTTATTGTTTTTCTGCTTACACTATTGCTTTCCCCAAGAGACTCACCTCACCTCTTAGTCTCCCAGAGAGGATCTCTCATCCTGCCATCCTGAGGCTTCTATTTTTGACCAATAGCTCTAAAGACCATGGGTTCCCATAACAACTTGATATCTCTTTCTCATCCCTGCCGTCCCTGAACAAGGCTTCTAATTTATTATGCTTTAAGAAGTTTTCGTATAGCAAGCGAGACACACTGGAATAGTGGAGAGAGCCCTAAACCAGCTTTGGTTCTATGGAAAATCACTTCACCTCTCTGTGTTTCTGTCTCACATCCATGACATGAGCATACAAATCTTTTCCTCGCACAGCTGTTGTTTGATAATGGTGAACGTGTTTGTGCACCACCACATGCAGAGACATTACGTGTCTATAAGGGTATTCCTGAGGTTTCTCCTGGTCCCACAGTGGACTGTTACAGTGTTCAGTCTAGCGTGCACATCCTGGGCACTGAATCTCTCTTCAGTGTTAACCCCCTTGGCGTTAGCATTCAGTCCTTGTATATTTAGAGAATATCAGTGTTTTCCAAGACATGATAATAATGGTAGTTGTCAGCAGTATCCTAGCCCTTTCTCTATTTATTCTCCCACTTCTGGAATGATTCTCGGGTATAACCTAACCCAAAGAAAAATGCCATGTGCTCAAACTGAGGGCTGTGAGGTTGGGTCTTTGGGGTTAGCTCCATCTTCCAGGATTTGCCCTTTGCCCTTCAACCAAAGGACAAAGTCATGTTAACAGCTGCTACTAAGTCTACATGCCTATTCGTTCATACCACAAAACAGGCATCTGTCACCATGGAATCAAGGCACTTGATGGGGGTGGGGGCTCCACAGGCACAGTGGGCTTCACTCTGGAACAGGATTACTGGGTGCAGCAGACGCAATCCTCACTTCATCAGCCCACACCCCAGCACCCTGAGCTTTCTCTTAATCTCATTCTAGCCCATCGTGACTCTTCGGTTAGGAAGGGTTCTCTCTGGAGATTTGTCTCTGGGATTAATGGGTGTATGCCTAGCTACTTTCTCCAGTTTACTTTTAGACCATATTATTGTTTGTTTTGAATATCATTCCTTAGGCTTTGTGGAGAGTAGATTGACTTCCCACGAGGAGAACTAATTTAGGGCATGTCTTTTGCTGAATCCCGTCAGTCTATCCTTCCCAATTCTAGATAATTTCTTTTTATTTCTCTAGTACCCTTTGCCAGGGGCTTTACACATGAAAGGTGTTCATGAAACGTTTGTCAAAGGGAAGAACAGTAATGACACGTCACACATAATGAGTGATTAGTATATTCCAGGCATTATGTGAGCTATTTACTGTGAGTGATTTCATGTTATCTTCCCAGCAGACCTCTGAGGTAGGTACTGGTGTCATCCCCATTTCATAGATGAGGAAACTGACACTAAGGGACATAAAATAAGTTTTTTGAAGTCACGAAGTGAATAAGAGGCAGAGCCAGGGCTTAATTGAAGTCATAGCAATGAAAACATTGTGGAACTTATTCTTCATGAATGGTTTACAATTTAAACAAAATGTCACCTAGAAAATAGATGAAAATATGTTCAACAGAGTCTGGATTTTTCCAATGTTTACTACTGAATTTTCAATCAGTAACAGATTGAACTTCCAAAAAGGTGTTGGTATCTGATTTTCTGCCTGCCTCAGAATGTGATTTGTCTGCCTTTGGGTAATCCAGCCTTGGGTAGAGAAGGAATTTGAAACCAGGAAATTCAACTCCAGAACTGGTGTTCTTTTCCCCGCCCCCCTTTAAGTTCTGGGATACATGTGCAGAACGTGCAGGTTTGTTACATAGGTATACATGTGCCATGGTGGTTTGCTGCACCCATCAACCCGTCATCTAAGTTTTAAGCTCTGCATGCATCAGGTATTTGTCCTAATGCTCTCCCTCCCATTGCCCCCAACCTCCCGACAGGCCCCAGTGTGATGTTTCCCTCCCTGTGTCCATGTGTTCTCATTTTTCATCTCCCACTTATGAGTGAGAATATGTGGTATTTGCTTTTCTGTTCCTGTGTTCGTTTGCTGAGATTTATGGCTTCCATCTTCATCCATGTCCCTGCAAAGGACATGAACTCATTCTTTTTCATGGCTGCATAGTATTCAATTGTATATATGTGCCATATTTTCTTTATCCAGTCTATCATTGGTGGGCATTTGGGTTGGTTCCAAGTCTTTGCTTTTGTAAATAATGCTGCAATAAACGTATGTGTGCATCTGTCTTTATAGTAGAATGGTTTATAGTCCTTTGGGTATATACCCAGTAATGGGATTGCTGTGTCAGATGGTATTTCCTGTTCTAGATCCTTGAGGAATCACCACATTGTCTTCCACAATGATTGAACTAATTTACACTCCCAACAACAATGTAAAAGCATTCCTGTTTCTCCACAGCCTCACCAACATCTGTTGTTTCCTGACTTTTTAATAATCGCCATTCTAACTGACATAACTGGCATGAGATGGTACCTCATTGTGGTTTTGGTTTACATTTCCCTAGTGACCAGTGATGATGAGCTTTTTTCACATGTTTCTTGGCCGCATAAATGTCTTCTTTTCAGAAGTGTCTTTTCATATCCTTCACCCACTTTTTTTTTTTCTTGTAAATTTGTTTAAGTTCCTTGCAGATTCTGGATATTAGACCTTGTCAGATGGGTAGCTTTCTAAAATTTTCTCCTATTCTGTAGATTGCAGAACTGGTGTTCTTTTGATGTTAGGGTAAAATGATGGATATCACTGGGTTTAATAGATTGCCTAGAGACAGAGACAATGTCTGGCTTCTCCCACGCATACACACATTCCTGGTAGAAGCTGGAGTCTGTAGCTCCTTGTCTCTCATACGGAGAGACTGTGACTTCACCTCTTATTTTAAAGTTATAGTTAATTGTAACTGCAATACTCTCAGATCATTTTGTCTATTCACAGAAACTAATTTGCTGCCAGTGATAGGGATAATCCATGATTTCTGAGACATCTACTTCCATAATTTCACAGTTCCAAGTCTAGAAAAATTATTAGAAGAAAATTATTGGGTGGTCTTGGAACCAACCCAAAGAAAAATCATGTCCTGTGAACAGTAGGATAGATACTGAATCTAGCTTGTCTCACTTTGGAGCTAGTTCTTATAATTTCCCTTGGACTATATATTTTTGTCCAATCACTACTGTACAGGACATGGGTTTGATTTGCTTTTCCCTCCCATGAGCCACTCAATTGCTTTGCTAAAAGCCCCATCACTTTTCCTTTGGTTTCCTTTGATACACCAACCTCAACACAGAGTCCACTTGGTTTGGAAAGGGTTGGCCCACACTGGTGGCGGGAGTGGGCGCAGAATCCATGCCTGGCTCATCTAATTGTCCATACCTTCCAACAAGGATTGGTTCAAGTGATGGGAAAGTGACCCTTGCCAGGGTGATGAAGTGCATACCACAGACTTTTACTGGCTGTACTGGGAAGCATACATTTTCTTTGGTACTGGAGAACTGGTAACAACAGTGCCAAATGTTGTTTGTTATCGAAGCTGAGTGAAGGGGCTCTTGAAGGATCCTTACTCAACTTTTGCATATGATTGGAAAGTTTGTAATAAAATTGTAATGGTGTAAGTCTACTATTTATACCTATAGAAGTAAAAGAGTTTTGCTGGGCGCAGTGGTTCACATCTGTAATCCCAGCACTTTGGCAGGCTGAGGCGGGCAGATCACGAGGTCAGGAGTTCAAGACCAGGCAGGCCAGTATGGGGAAACCCCATTTCTACTAAAAAAAATGCAAAATTAGTGGGGTGCAGTGGCTCACACCTGTAGTCCCAGCAACTTGGGAGCCTGAGGCAGGAGAATCTCTGGAATCCAGCAGGCAGAGATTGCAGTGAGCCGAGATCACATTGTGGCCTGGGCAACAGAGCAAGACTCTGTCAGAAGGAAAGAAAGAAAAGAAAGAAAAAAAGAAAGAAAGAAAGAAAGAAAGAAAGAAAGAAAGAAAGAAGGAAGAGAAAGAAAGAAGAAAGAGAGAGGAAGAAAGAGAAGAAAGAAAGAAAGAAAGAAAGAAAGAAAAAGAAGGAAGGAAGGAAGGAAGGAGAAAAAAGAAAGAAGAAAGAAGGAAGGAAGGAAGGAAGAAAGGAAGGAAGGAAAGGGAGAGAAAGAGAAAGGAAGAAAGAAAAAGAAAGGAAGAAAGGAAGGAACAGAAAAGAAAAATAAAGAGAAGTAAAAGACTTGTTTTTTTTTAAGTTTTGAAATAGTTTCTTAGGGAGAGTAGGATTGAAAGAGTAGAGAAACGGGGGAGATAAAGAGGGAGTAGGGTTTGGGTGATTCCTGTTGTTTTTCTTATAAGCTCTTTGTTAGTAATTTAGTATTGTATTTCTACCACATATGTTTTCTACCCTATATAAGCATGACACCTTTTAAACAAGATAGATACAAACTGTATTAAAATTTACGCCACAGCTTGCATACCAACATAGTCTTCCATGAGTTGGTCTCTGCGAGTGTTTCCAGCTTTGCCTCCCACCTCTGTCCCTCGCTGTCATTATTGCAGCTGTGATGCCCACATTCAGCTGTGCAAATGCAACCCTCATCATCATCTCTACAGACTGTTCTGTGCTTCCGGGTCATTCCTTTCTTCCAACTGGTCTTCCCTCCACTTCACAATAGAGTAGAGAAGTTTCTGATGTTTGGGCTTCCTTTTGGGTAGAACAACAAAAGTCAACTAGAAACATGTTCTTTTTAGAGTTATATTTTCAGAGTGAGGAATCATATATCATTTATATTTTATCATAGGAAATTGAAACATTTTCACTTTTTCTTTTTTCCTGTTAAATCTTTAATTATCTTTAACCAGGACTTAATTAATCTTGACTTGTCTGCAATCTTTTGAAATGTGAGTAACTTCAACCTATATTTTCTCCATTAGCTAAATTCGGTGAAATAGTGTTTTTGATAAAACAAAACCTGCCCCGTGGGGAAGGGACACACTTTGTGGACGTGCCATTTGGGTCACACACAAAGGTGGGCCACTGGGGTGCGCCATTGAGCCAACCAGGATAGCAAGAGCCACATTCTCTAATTCACGCAGAGGCATTTTATGAGCTAGTGGCGGCCTTGGAGAAGGGACGGCACTTCTCTATATTAATTCGGACTGGGGTATCAGTAATTTTTAAGGTTTTCTTTTTTTTCTTCAGCTCTTAACCCAGAGGTCATTTCCTCAAGCCATGTCTCTAAGCCTCATGCTCCCATAAAACCTGTAACTTCTTTTATATATCAGTCATCCCATTTGTAATTATTTGTTTAAAATCTCTCTTTCTCACTATATGGAAACTTCACAGGGGCAGGGACTAGACCTGCCCTATTCACAGTGTATCTACAGCCCCAAGGGCAGGGCCTGTCACATATCAGTTTTGGTGTGGGGGGCTATTGGATTAATACATTACTAACAAGAATGTATGATCATGGGAGAAGACTAGATGAGGATTTCCAACTATTGTATATGTTTGCTGTCTTTAGGCGGATCACCTGAGGTCTGGCATTTGACACCAGCCTGGCCAACATGGCAAAACCCCGTCTCTACTGAAAATACAAAAATTAGCCGGGTGTGGTGGCGCATGCCTGTAATCCCAGCTACTTGGGAATCTGAGGCAGGAGAATCACTTGAACTCGGGAGGGGAGGTTGCCCTGAGCTGAGATCGTGCCACTGCACTCCAGCCTGGGTAAAAGAGTGAAATTCCATCTAAAAAAAAAAAGAAGAAGAAGAAGAAAAAGACCTCTCTTATTTATCCCTATTCAAGAAAATGGTTTCACTATTCCAGAAAGAAGCTTTAGTGCAATTAGAACCATTCTCCTATTTTTAGCTTCTGAATACAGGCTGCATTGTGAAAGTGAATTTTCCATTAATTCTTATTTCTCCTTTTCCTAGGGACTTATGTCAGAGAGTAGTATAAGCTATTTTCAAGAGTTTCTGTATTTTGAGGAAACAATTATTTATCTGACATTTCTTGGGCCCTATTTCTACTATATTTCTGTGTCAATTCCTCTCCTCTACTAATTAACATTTCCAGCCAAAGTTAACTACAGTGTAGACACTTTCATTTTGAATTAACATTTTTCCTATTCTGCCATGTTATTAGGTTCTGGAACAGAGATACATCCCACAATAACAATAATGAAAAATTAAGAACCCCCCAAAAACATTCATATTATTTTATGTGGTCTCCCAACTCCAAAACAAGACAGCTGAGGTGCCTATACCGGGCACCTTCATACAGGTACATCTGATATGTTAGTCTCCATTTCTATAGAAGAAAACAAAAAGATGCTATTAGCCTACTTCAAATTGTTGTCCCACTTATTGAATCTAACCTAGTTTCCTATGATAAGTTATTTATCCAGCCCCCTAGGCTGTCTTCACCAGGAGCTTTGAAATAGAAGCCAGACCTTTCTGAGTATTGCTCAGATACATCCCTGATACACTGACTCATCTAAGATCAAAAGTGCCCCCCCAATATGTCCTCAGCAGCACGTGGCAAGCACATGAACAGCAGGTCAGCCAAGACGTTAGACGTGGCCAAGGTTTCCAAAGAAGGAGAGCTACTTTTCAGTTGATGCTATCTCCTTAAAAGCATGGCATGATTGCACTTCTCATGATATTATTTTCATGAACTTGTTCCTGATACAAGGTCTTTAGTACCATGCCTGGCTTCCATTTTGAAGTATCTTCTTGTGCAAGATCGGTGCACTTCCCAGTTCTCATAGGAAGATACTTTGGTGCCGTACTCAGCTTACAGAAGGTCCTACATTTTCTACACGCAGCTCTTTGTACTGATTCGCTTTTCATTTGGGAAAGCCAT